AATTTACTGAGCTCCTCCCTGAAGAAATTGAAAATAGCTTACAGAAAAATCGATCCAAAGATGATGTTAAGAAAATTGAAGCACTGCTAAATCTTCCTAGAAACGCTTCATCAACAAATAAACAAGACAAAGACTGAAAATGTTCTGGACTTAACATTCATTGGTGAATCGAAGGGATCTGTGTCCATTGAATGCCAATGGCTAGGCTTCCCCTTGGTCGCCTGCTGACAGATTACGTGCTGGCACCTCTAGTGGCACTGACTTGCTCATATCTTTTTTTTAACCAAGAATTGGGCTATTGTGCACTCACTTTACTTATCCTTAAATCTAAATACACACTTACATCTTTCCTGATTGATCTATATATTTGACGTTATATCTGTAGTGATCAATCAATACACAATTCTTTCCCCTGGATTTTACGACACTAGGTTTAAAATTTCCCAAGATTGGAGTTGAATTCTGTAGGTTGTATGTTTATTCTTGCAGCCCTTTAAAAGGATACTCTAGGAATCACTAGGAAGGGGAGAGGAAAGAACCAGCTGAGGCAAATGGTCTGTGATAAAACCCTTGTGCCTTTGGGTCCTGGAAACATCACAGGCCTAAGTGTGTAGGGGCACCTGGGTGGCTGTTGATTGTCTGAGTCTTGATTTAGGCTCAGGTCACGATCTCAGGGTTGTGGATTGAGCCCCGTGTGGGGCTCCGTGCTCAGAGTGGAGTCGGCTTGTCCCTCCCCTTCCCTCTCTGCCCCTCCCTCCTCACGCATGCCCTCTCTCAAATAAATAAATAAAATCTTTAAAAATAAAATAAAAAGGGAATTCCTATACCATTTGAAATACAATATAAATTTAACAAACAATAATTAGATAAGCATTACTAAAAAAAGGAGCCTGACTTTGTTTCCTCTCTTAGTGTTGCTGACAAAGTGTCTATGCTGTAATATGCAGAAGTTACTTAGAATAGATACACAGTCTCTACACTCCAGGAGCTTGCTCCTTAAGAAGGACTCTGCAATCCTGCAGATTTTAACTTTTACTAAAGGGGGTGGGTGGAATGAACTGCCTTAAGTGTACTAAGGGGGAAGAACTGCTAGTGCTTTGTTTTGGTGTTAGATCTCTGTTTTTAGTTCCTGCTCTGAAAGTAACTGTTTTCAGGAGCTGGTTTTATGTAGCCGAGCGATACAGTGGCTGAAAGCATGGGCTCTGGAGGCAGATCGCTGGCTTAGCATCCCAGCCATGTGGCTTTGCTGCCATGTGACCTATAGCAAAGCCATTTTACTTCAGGTCTCAGTTTTCCCCTCTGTCAAATGAAATAGTATCTACCTCAGAATGGGTATTAAGTGAAATGATGCATGTGGAGCATAGCACGATGCCCTGGAGCACAGGGGATGAGAGATAGAAGAACAGATATTAGTAATTATAAGGATAGAAGAACCTCTGCACAAGTATATTATTAACATGATTTACATGTTATCACCACACTCCATAAAGCATGTTTTTCTTAATTATCCCATTCATAAACTGCTGACAAGCTGGCAGTCAATCTGTTTATTGTTTTATTCACATCCACATATAGATTAAATTCTCCAACTAGAAATTAGAAAACTAGATGGTTGGTTTTAAAAATAATTTTATTCATATCACAAAAATATCAGAAGTACAACTCTTTGAAAAAATAGTACTAACACATTTATCAAATGTAATAAGTAATGTAATATAATTTAAGTATAAATAAGCTGTCTCTTAGGTGTGTACTATTTTCTGACTTGAGGTCTCCTTTTGATGTCTAAGGATTGATTAATCTTAACTAAATGTGGCAATTCCTTTTTTTGTTGTTGTTGTTCTTTGCTTTAAGTTCTTGTAGGTTTCCTACTTTTATTTCCTTCAGCGATTTTGTTCTGAGAGCAACCATTTAAAAGTGTACTTCTGCTCCTTAGACTATGTAGCATAATCTGGTCCCTTTATAGCTACCAAAATTAAATGTTTTAGACCCAGCCACATGTGAGAAACTTGGTCAACTTGCTGTCCAACGTCAAATTTTCAAATGAGAATGTCTGATTGCTCCCGCTTAAGTCAGGTCCACCTCCTGGTCCGTTGAGTTGTGGAAGACAACTTCAGAGAAAGAGGAGTCATGAGCAAGTAACACAGGAACAGCAGTTGGCCACCTTTTCAATTCTCTGCTGGTGTCAGAAGGATCAGAAATACCAAGGAGGAAAAGCCACTTTAGGGATCTAAGGAAGGCCTATGGAATGCTGTTTTCATTACCTCGATAGATTTCTAAGGACAGCTTACTGTTTAGTAATACACCATAAAAACCTATCTCATTTTAAATGAGAACCTTCTCATATTTTATAAATGAGGTTAAACTAGCATAAAGCCATTTAAGGAGATTATTAGTCCAATATGAACCAGTAGGATATGACTCTAAACCCACCTATCCCTCTCCATCCTGACTATTGCTTTGAGGTGTATAAGTCATTCATCTTACATGTCACAGGATATCAGTTTTGGATAGATCTACTTTCTCCAGAACCTGATGGAGAAGTGGGAGAGCAACAGAGGAGAGCACAATGAAAAATGAAATACTGGCTAACACCACTAATGTTTCCATCGTCCTCACATCGGTATACATACCAGCATACTACCCACACATGAACATCAGATTGCTTTTTATAACAACACAAAATCCTCCAGCGTTGCATCAGATCAAGTCTCAAGAGTTGAGCTGACATTGGACAAATTCTTTTTCCAGAAGCATTTTGACTGGCGTGTGTATATATATATACACACACACTAGTTAATAGCACAGAGCCAGACTAATGGAAAAGAGCACCAGAGACAGGAAATCTGAGTTCTGGCTCAGGCCTTTATCATTCAGGTCACCCCCTGGGCCTTGATGTCCTTGTCATTAATGAGACAAGTGTTTTCAAATGTCTCTTCCAGGCCTGAACCATTCTTTGTTTCTAACTTCTTTGACCAAGGTTACCAGAGCTACTTATGTCCCCGCCATATTCCTCTGGTCACTTTTTGCAGGGCCACTGAAATGAAGAGGCTCCTAGAGAACAGATACTTGAAGTGCAAGGTGGGATAATCCTGGCCATCTGAGGAAATTCAAAGAAGAGGTCAATCTAAGTTGGAGGTGGGACCTGAGAAAACAAAAAATTAAACGAATACTTCAAACCCTAAATTCTCAAAGGAGGAAACCATTTTAAAACTTTATGTTTTTTATCACAAAGGTGCTCCCAAGTTGAGGTGACATTTGTAGGTATTAATCTTGATGGCCAAAGAATATAAAGGGAAGTCCAAATTATGGGAGAATTTAGGATAAGTCTGACAATTTTTATTACATGAAATACCAGGCAAATATTAAGCACCAGCTATCATCAAACAACCAAACATTAGTGATCAAGGTAATATTCTACCTATGAGGCAAACAGAGGTATCAGGCATGGTTGTTCTCAATAAGCCTACAACTCAGTAAAGAATATAAGACATGCACGTGAGAATAAACCCAGGATGGAATGTGATGTGCTGGAGATGGCACCGCTCCAGCAGCTCAAAGGCAGAGTTGCTTGAACTGGACAAGATGGCCACGTAGGAGACTGGACCCCTGGCTTCAGTATGACATATCAGCTGGCTGAGCAGAAGACTGTTAACAAGGAAAGTCAAGGAAGTTCTAGGTAATCACAGAACTGAGGGGGACATCCTGGAAAGGGCATCCTGAAGAAGTTGAAAACAGGAAACAGAGACTGCTGTGGGGAAATGTGCATAGGCTGCTATGATGAAAGGAACCTGAGCTTTCATACCCAGTTTGAGTCCTGCTCTGCTCCTTGCCTGCCTGACCCAAGGCAAATCACAGCCTCTGGGAGGGAGCCTCGGGTTTCTCTCCTATAAAATGGAGATAAAGATCTTGTTCACAGAGATTTTTATAAGACTAAATGAAATAATAAAATAATGCTTTTGTAAAACATAACCTATTAAGTCTCAGGTGTTATATTTCATTTCCTTTTTTTTTTTTTTAAGATAACTCTGCAGACTCTCATTTCTTATGCTTTCTCACCCTAACTTCATAAGTCAAAAAGGACTGTTTATGGAGGCTATAAACCACCCTGGACCTGGTATCAGTCTCTTGGATTCCAATGTTTCTCTTACATGAAAAGGCCTGGGTAGTTTAGGATAACACAAAATTGATGTAAGTTAATAGTGTGACTCAAAAAACCTGCTGCTGTGTTAGGCTTTCTTAACAGAAAAAACATTCCAGATCCCAGACATTAATTTTCCCATTGTATGTTGAATTAGACCATATCTAAAGTCGTGGACTCCATTTGTTGATATCTAGTGTATTCACATGAAGCTTCTGGAAAACTACTATGTGGAGAACAGTTCGAAGAACTGAGAATGTTTATACTGAAGAGATCAATTAAAATGTGGAAAGTTAGAAGTCTTAAAACTTTTCCTATAGGCATTGGGGGTCTTTTCTGAGTTTTTGAGTGGGAAAATGACATGAAGAAATGATTCTTTATAAAATTTGGCTGTTATTGGGTTAGTAGGATGACTCTGTTAGAGGCAGAGAGACCAATGAGGACGTTACTGAGGTGGTACAGAGTGACCAGTAAGTGACCTTAATCTGCATCCATCAGTAGTGAGGGATACAGGCAAAAAGGAATGATCAGAATAAGCAGCTGGGCCAGGAATATTACTTCAAGATGAACTTAAGCTATTTTACAGATAATGAAAGACACTGAGTTGACTGACAAGAGAGGGCGACATTTCAACATGGCAGAATGGCACAGCAAAGAAAGGGGTAACAATAAGCAAGTCATGTGGGAAGAGAGATTCCAACCATCTGTTTAGAGTAACCTGAATTAGGTTTTTGAGAAGGTGAGGTAGGGTTTAAATCTGGTACTGAGAGGAAGAAAACATTGTGCCTTGGGATCCATATATCTCATATATTCCACCCTGGTAGAGAAGAGCTAGAGGAGCTACCTCCAGATGTTCTGCTCATACGGATGCTTGGGCAGATCCTATGTAGATAGGAGTGATCTTTTCCATGTCCATGCCCTCCTCATTCCTTGTTCTCCTTCTACATCTTGCAGCAAGTCCTTGAAGACAAGCACAAACAATAAAGATTTAGATAGGTGAGTTTCCCCTAAATTGTGCCCGAATATTTCAGGAAGCCTTCACTGGCTAAGAACTAGATTAGTGGTTCTTAAACCAGGGAGATTTCCCAGCACCCCCCACCCCCACCCTGCTCTGGGACATTTGTAATGTAATAGAGACATTTTTGGTTGTCACAACTGGGGCAGGCATGCTATTGGCATATAGTGAGTAGAGCCTAAAGATGCTGCTAAATATACTACAATGCACTGAATGAACCCTAAAACAAAGAATTATCTGGCCCTAAATGTCAGTAGTGTTAATAAGAGATCCTCAACTAGAGGGGTAAGGCTGGGCAGTCTGTATCAAAAACATCCTTGAGCCCACCAGACTTCTTCACCCTATCTGTGGGTTGAGTTGTTGGTTGCAAAAAGTCTTAGTGACTTCCCTGTGCTTTGACAGTTTTTGTGCTGAAGTTTGGGAAAATCATCAGATGTTGGTCTTCCAATTTTCTTTGCTCAATATACGTGATTTCTACTCCAAGAAAGGTTGGTGCTCCTTCATGGTGACTATGGCCTCAGCTCTGGCCTAGCAGTTCCTCTTCATTTAATTACAGAGTTGGAGGGTAGCATATGTATAAGGCCAAAAATTTGAACTCCTAGGGAAAAACATCCTAGATATCTCTTCTTTCCTCAACCACTCCTTATCTTTCAACCAAAAATGTATTCAAAGGAATTGAGAATTGGCAAAAATCACCTGTGGCCATGTAATTTCTCAGTGTCATTACTGCATCTTACCCTCCTTTAAGAATTCTTGACCCCAAATCTTGTCCTTCTGACCTTCCTCCACTTGAAAATCAAAGATTAGAATATCACTTTGCATCAGAAATATTTTCAAATTAGTTATCAAGCCTCAGTGTCTCCAAGAAAACACAAAGGGGAAAAAATAAATGGACTAAACTAGAATGTGTCTTGAGGGCACTAATTCCTCATGTTTGTAACTCCAGTGCCTAGTAGAGAACTGGACACAGAGTAGGTGTCCAAGAAATGTCTGTCCAGTGAATGAATAGAACTTGGTGGGACAAGTAAAGAATACACTAAGGTTTCCATAAAACGAGAAGAGGCTATAACCTAAGCTAAAACCTTGGAAGGTTGCTAACACATACTGATAAGAGTTTGGGCTTCCAGGAATTGAGGTCAGAATGATAGTATGATAGTATGATAGTACTTACTGCAGGCTAAGCAGCTTCCTTTAATGACAGTGATCACAAAAATCCCACTTACTACTAAGATGACCCAGAGTGGGAGTGAATTATCAGGAGGGGGTGGCTCAACTGTGGAGGCAAAAGAAAGAATAGTGTCAGCTCTAATGTGTTTCCAGCTGCAGGATTCTATACCTGTTATATCTACACAACTGTAGAGAGTATTTTTCACTTCTTTCTCTGCTCAGCTCTCCACTAAGTAGCTGCTAGCATTTTTCTTGAATAATTCTTTGATCAGACACGTATTTGTGGGCAACTAATATCCAGATGTCAGGTATCAAATGTGAAAAAGAAATTTTGAACTTTTGCATTTACTGAATTAAGTTGGCATAAAAAAGATTCTAAGGAGCTACTTTAAAAGTATTCTTGTCTTGGGGTGCTTGGGTGGTTCAGTCAGTTAAGTAGCCAGCTCTTGGTTTTGGCTCAGGTCGTGATCTTGGAGACCTGGAATTGGGCCCCACATGGGGCTCTGCACTCAGTGGGGAGTCTGCTTGAGGATTCTCTCTCTCTCCCCCTCTGCCCCTCCCCCAGCTCATGCACACACTCTCTGTTTCTAAAATAAAAATAATAAATAAATCTTTAAAAAAATAAAGTGTTCTTGTCTTTATATCTCATTTTTATAGCTGATATTTCTATGTATTACTAATAATTAGTTGACATCATGTTCTAGATATACCTTAGTTTTCTCTTTCTAGATCTGTCATGCCTTTTCCCTTTCTCTCATCCACACCCAAGGTTTAAAATACCATCTGATTTCTAAATCTGTATATCATATTTCTGATCTCATTTTTTTCCTTACAGCACATTTTATTTAAAATGCAAATTTTATTTATAGATTGATTTACTTTAAATATTGCACAGGCATTATGACAAAAAAATTACTGGGTTGTTTGTTTATTTTTAAATTCTAGTTAGTTGACATACAGTTCAACATTGGTTTCACGAGTAGAGTTCAGTGGTTCATCATTTACATAAAACACCCAGTACTCATCATAACAAACGCCTTCCTTAATACCCATCACCCATCTAGCCCACCCCCCCCACTTCCGTCCATCAACCCTTAGTTTGTTCTCTATAGTTAAGTCTCTCATGATTTGTTTTCCTCTCTCTCTCTTTTCCCCCTCCCATATGTTCATCCATTTTGTTCCTTAAATTCCACATGAGTGAAATCATATGGTATTTGTCTTTCTCTGACTTATTTCGCTTAGCATAATACATTCTAGCTCCATCCACGTCATTGCAAATGGCAAGATTTCATTCACTTTGATGGCTGAGTAGTATTCTACTATATATACATATGTGTACACCACATCTTCTTTATTCACTTATCAGTGGATGGCATTTGGGCTGTTTCCATAGTTTTGTTATTGTTGATAATGTTGCTATAAACATCGGGATGCATGTACTACTTAGAATGTGTATTTTTGTATCCTTTGGGTAAATACCTAGCAGTGCAATTGCTAGATGATAGGGTAATTCTATTTTTAGCTTTTTGAGGACCCTCCATGCTGTTCTCCAGAGTGGCTACACCAGTTTGCATTCCCACCAACAGTGCAAGAGGGTTCCCCTTTCTTAGCATCCTCACCAACACCTGTTGTCCTCCCGTGTTTCTGAACTCCAGATTTGAATTTCCAACTGCTGACTACATGGCTGGATGCCAGAATTTCCACCTGATTTAAACTGAACTCACTATAATCTTTCCAAAGCATATCTTCCAACCATGTTCTCCCATTTCAGTGAAGAGCAACACCATAGTTACCCAAATAAGAATGAAGCCTTCTTTTTGTGCTCACTTCCCATTAGGTTCCCATGGACTTCCTATTCTGTATTCAGGATACCTCTGCAGTTGGTTCCTTTGCCCAAAATCTCATGCAACAACTGCCTTAGTTCGGGTTTTTCTTCCCTCCCACCTAGTCGTCTCCATACTGGTCCCTTTGCCTCTGGTTTCCAAGGCTCTAATAATTCCTACATATTCTTCCACAGTGATTATTCTAAAATGCACATTTGACTTTAGTGAACCTACCACTTAGAGACTAGGGAAAGTTGGGTTTTGTTTTGTTTTGTTTTGTTTTTCTTTTCCTCTACAACACCGGATTGCATGAAGATGAGTGATTACCAGAATCGGCCTCTACAGACCAGAATGACAGGGAGGCTCTTGCTCTTATCCTGGGAATCTAAAAGTTCCACAGGTTCTGACTCACTCCTGGCTTCCTCTCAGAGGCCACTCCTCACTCATCCTCAAGCCTCACTCAGCCTAGAAAGAGGATGTATGTTTGAGAAAAAGAAGGAGGAACTAGTAGCAGCAAACCGGCTCTGTCATGATGCCAAGTAGGAATCTAGTAATGCACCACCAGAATCCTCATTACAGAGTCAAGTGTGGACATCGGCACATACAGCTTGTGAGCTACACCATGAGTGGGACTCCCTGACTTACCTCCTTCCACACACATATGTGCCTTCCAGTATATCAAGGGTTAACCAATTTGGCAGGCCCAGGCTAAAAGAATCATGGACCCAATCTGTTTAATAAATTGGGGTATTTTTTTAGAGTGGCTATTTACATAAAGCTTTATATAAATATATTTTTAAAAGACTTTATTGATTTATTTTAGAGAGAGAGTGTGTGTGTGTGTGTGAGTAGGGGGAGGGGCAGAGGCAGAGGGAGAGAGAATCTTTTTTTTTTTTTAACAGTTTTTTTTTCTTTAAGATTTTATTTATTTATCTGAGAGAGAGAGAAAGAGAGAGAGCACGAGAGGGAAGAGAGTCAGAGGGAGAAGCAGACCCCCCGCCGAGCAGGGAGCCCGATGTGGGACTCGATCCCGGGACTCCAGGATCATGACCCGAGCCGAAGGCAGTCGCCCAACCAACTGAGCCACCCAGGTGCCCGGGAGAGAGAATCTTAAGCAGGCTCCACACTCAGCATGGAGCCTGACGTGGGGCTCGATTTCTCAACCCTGAGATCATGACCTGAACTGAAATCAAGAGTCAAACGGTTAACTGACCGAGTCACCCAGATGCCCCTATATAAATATTTTTATGTAAATACATTTATATAAAGCTTTATATAAATATTTTTACATAAAATAAATTATAAAAATATTTATGTAAAGCTTTGCTCATGTTGACTTGTAACATTTTTAGGAACTGTACACCTAATTTTTGTTTGTTTATGTAGCCAGCCCTTGACCACCCACAAATGCATTATTTGCTTTAGACTCTAAATGATGCCTGCAGTTCAGGGGCACCTCATTGGCTCAGGCAGTTAAGCATCTGACTCTTGATTTCAGTGCAGGTCAGGATGTCAGGGTCGTGAGATCTGAGATCAAGCCCTGTGTAGTGCTCCGTGCTGGGTGTAGAGCCTGTCTTAGATTCTCTCTTTCTCTCCCTCTGCCCCTCCTCGCCCTTAAAAAAAATGGGGGGGAAAACAAGATGCCTGCAGTTCAATTAATAGATTTGAAGTATTTATACACTAAATCTCTCTGACAATCAAGACAACACTAGTACTTAGGAAGATGCTTGGTATCTGATAACTACTTTAATAAAGATTGAATGAACAAAGAAATGAATAAACCCATACACTTAATCATCTTTCCATTAATTGTTGTAAATGTAGGGCAAAGAGCTAGTATTTTTCATTAGACCGAAAAGGTATACTGTTCATCCTTAGCATGAGGGAAGAATTGAGAGAAGGCATATCAGGGAAAAGATTAAAGCTGGACAGTCTAAATCATCTTTAAATAAGAGCTCCCTCCTTTTATTTGAATGGGCTACATTCTGTTTCCTGTAAGTTAGCAAACTACAGTACACAGACCAAACCTGGCCTACTGCCTCTTTAAAATTTTGCTGGAACACAGCCATATCCTTCATTTATGTCTTGTTTATGGCAGCTTCCAGGTTATAACAGCAAAACTGAGTTGTTGCCAATGATCATCTGACCTACAAAAACTAAAATATTTACTACCTGGCCCTTTTCTGAAAGTATTTGCCAATTCCTGTCCTAAAATATCATATACACTCATATTCCAAATATAATGTCCAAAATAAGATGATTGAAGCTGCTATTACTGTTTTGTGTGCTAATCCCTACCTTAGTCACAATAAATTAATAAACTATATAACTCAAACCTCATTTTTATAAAATCTTTAGAACACATAAAAGATGACTGAAAGAAATGAATTTGGACTATTAATAAAATCATGTCAAAATTTTGTTTGTATTTGAACTAATATTCCCAGGAAATTTTATCTCATGACCTATTGAAGAAAATAATGAACAAGTCCACTTCAAGATGGAAAGATCTAGAGTAAATCATTCACTAGAATGAGCTACTAGACCATCTAAAGTATCTCCTCTACTACAAGTAAAGATCAAAGGAAGACATGCTATACATTCTATATTATACTATATATCCATGTGCCACTATATATCTAATTCATAGTATTGTTTATTACTATGCAGCCACAAAATGTGCCATTAAGAGTGGGCCTGGGCAGTGGGAGAGAGACCTGATGGTCTTCCATACAATCAGCCATACAAGTTAGACATTTATTTTAAGTATCTGAGTTCTGTAATAACCCATTATGGGTTTAACATGCATTAATTTATAGAAGCCCAACTTATTCCATTTTACATTTTCAAATGATTTCACCTCTTGGGGACAGAAAATTCTGTAAGTTTACGAGCTGAAGGGTAAAGTATTTGAAGGTCATGGTATTTGGGCAAAAATGACCTCTATTTTCAGGCATTGTCCTCAAGTAGTTTGTCATTTACCTTCTTTACCAGACTTAGTTGTGAATGAACCAGTAGTTCTTAAAAGGCACATTCACCCACAAAAGGCAATGATTTGATACCATGGGACAATGGGAAGGAGGTGCCCAAAAAAGAAAGTACCAAAGCCCCAAGGGCAAGTCCAAAGAAGGACAAATTTTAGTGCTTTCAATATCAACAATATTGTTACAGTAACTTCCTAGGATGACTACTTGAGGGAGAGCACTTATTTGGATGTCTCAATTTTAGAAAATTTATTAAAGAAAATAAAATTAGGGCGCCTGGGTGGCTCAGTCATTAAGCGGCTGCCTTCAGCTCAGGTCATGATCCCAGGGTCCTGGGATCGAGCCCTGCAGGGAGTCCGATGCATGGGAAGCCTGCTTCTCCCTCTCCCACTCCCCCTGCTTGCGTTCCCTCTCTCGCTGTGTCTCTCTCTGTCAAATAAATAAATAAAAATCTTTTAAAAAAAAAGAAAGAAAATAAAATTAGTCTAGTAACATGCTCACACCTTGTACAGTGATCTTAACAAGTCACAATATCACTTCATTATCATTTGTGGGTCTAAAAATACAAGAAATGCTATCAAAGTCAATATACACGATTCTAAAATGGATCTGGCTGAGTTTTCTTTTTATTTTTTTTATAAATTTTTTTTAAAGATTTATTTATTTATTTTGACAGAGTGAGAATGAGAGAGAGAGAGAGAGCACATGAGAGGGGGGAGGGCCAGAGGGAGAAGCAGGCTCCTCACTGAGCAGGGAGCCTGATGCGGGACTCGATCCCAGGACTCCAGGGTCATGACCTGAGCCAAAGGCAGTCGCTTAACCAACTGAGCCACCCAGGCGCCCTGAGTTTTCTTTTTTAGATTTTACACAGTAGAAACTCCCCAGAACAATGTTACTTACATTTTTGCCAGTTGAAGATCTGTGATACTGCTAAGTCTCCATACTTGACAAGACACACAAAGCTATGGTTGTTTGTTATATTGAAATCCAGTTCACTGCTGATAGTGTAGAGCTCAGTTTCAGGATCTTGGGAAACTGTTGTGTTGATGGCATTTAATTCTTCTTCATTTTCTAACCAGGAGAGGTGAGGCTTTGGAAAACCTCCAGAGGTTGAACACATTATCCTTTTGATGTTACGGGATGGATTTCCAAGGTCAGTTATACTAGGGACAGGGAAGTCAGCTGAAGAAAGAACAAAGATATAAGTACATATCATTATGTATTGGTGCGGTGGGGGTGTGTGAGGTTTTTTTTTAATAAATTAGCTTTAATAAGAATAATAAAATGAGATATAATTTTCAACTTCTCATAAATTATTAATAGTTATGTATAATCCAAAGATCAACTTTGGTTTGAATTGGGTATGTCAATTCTTCATTACTTTTTTTTTTTTAAGATTTTTATTTATTTAAGTAAACTCTACACCCAATGTGGGGCTCGAACTCATGGCCCTGAGATCAGGAGCCACATGCTCTTCCAACTGAGCCAGCCAGGCACCCCAATTCTTCATCACTTTTTTTTTTTAAAGATTTTATTTATTTATTTGAGAGAGAGAGAATGAGAGATAGAGAGCACGAGAGGGAAGAGGGTCAGAGGGAGAAGCAGACTCCCTGCTGAGCAGGGAGCCCGATGCGGGACTCGATCCTGGGACTCCAGGATCATGACCTGAGCCGAAGGCAGTCGCTTAACCAACTGAGCCACCCAGGCACCCCTCTTCATCACTTTTGATGGAGGTAGGAGGACACTTATAGAAAGAAGTAGATCTATGTGAATAAATACTGACATAGTATTTTGCATTTGTAAGAGATGAAGGGAAAAATAATAGACAACATTTACGGAGCTCTTAATGTTTGTTAGGTCTTAGACACTACCTCATTTCATCTTTACAACAACCCTACGAGGCAGGTGTATGTCAAGAAAGGTCAAATATCAGCAATTTCATTTGACTTAACCTAATACGATTTCCATTTTATAAATAATCAAATTGAGTTCGAGAGAAATCATGAGTAAGTGGCAAAACTGGGATGTGAATTCAAGTTTTTCTGATACCAGAAACTTCTCTTTCCTTCTCTTCTCTTCCCTTGCCTGCTTTTTTTCCCCCTTTCCTTTCCTGCCTTTCTTTTCTTGCCTTTCTTCCTAATATTTGAGGTATACAAAGTGGCTCTCTTATTTATCTATTTATGAGTTAATACTATAAAAAACACCTGTGAAACCACCATCAAACTTGAGAGCCAGCACATTGACTGTAACTTATCTAAATCTACTTGTATGGTCTCACCTTTGTTGTCTCCCCATTTCCCAAACTTGAGATAACCACTACTCTAAATTTTCTTTAGCATTCCCTTACTGAATTTTCAAAAGTAGTCTTTAATAAGATAAGCCTCTGTCCAAATTGTACAATATTGAACCTGTAATCTCAACCACTCTACTTTACTGACTCCCTTGCTATTCTGATATGCATCACAAGGACACAGGGGCCTTCCTAGCATTCCTCCAAGATACTTGAGGCATTCCTGCATTTGTATAGTTGACCCCCAATAAGATACTAAAGTATATACAAAGCAAAGCATAGTGAAATGACTGCAGAGAATACAGGACCAAGCTCTCTAACTCACATTCTCCCTTTATCTTAGGCCTAAAGAAATGTATACTTCTCAGCCTGAGTGTGGGAAACCAAGCCCCGCATACTTCATCCCGTACAGTTAGATTTCTTTTCACAATTCGGAGTTCCACAGAGAGACATATTATAGCGTAATGGTCATCAACAGCGGGTTGTTGTGCTGTTTTTTTTTTTTTAAAGAGTTTATTTAGAAAGCATCATAGTGTAAACAAATTGTACCACTTGGATTTTCTTTTAATACAAAATGTATAATGTAAAGCTGAAGCCACTCATGAGGATTGTGCTTCTCTAGAAAGTTGGGTTTTTTTAAAAGAACATTTGGGAACCATACATACGTAATTAATAAAGATTTCCTTTAAGGAACAGGCTGGCCAAGATCCAACAGCAGGTTTTAAAACCAGTTTTGCCTTTTGGCCCTGGGGCCAATTACTTCACCACTTTCAGTTTTAGTTGGCTCATCTCTAAGATGGGGATAATAATACCGGCATTCCAGGGTTCTAAGAATTAAATGACATCATTAATATAAATCATGAAGCACAGGGCCTGACACATAGCATATTAGTTAATAAATAGATGGAGTTATGTGGGTCTTAAATTTGTACTCTCTTGGATGAGCTCCCTCATTTAAATCAAGCTGCCCAGTGAAAACTTCCAAAAACACCCAGTAGCGCCGTGAATAATAAGAGAAAGGGGAAGTTATGACAAGTGATTATAACTGCCAGGAAAAGGAAAAACTTGCATTTGGTAGGAGGTGAAGTCATCTTTTCTGCATCAACCCTGTTTCTAAATTAAGTTTGACATTTTCCTGAGCCATTTTTAGTTGACATTTCCTACTCCTGAAATTTATCTTATAAGATCAAAAAATTATAATGGTAGCTGACATCAAGAATATTCCCTTTGTAGGGCACCTGGCTGGCTCAGTCAGTGGAGCATGCCACTCTTGATCTCGGGGTTGTGAGTTCGAGGCCCACAAAATAAAATCTTAAAAAACAACAACAACAACAACGAATATTCCCTTTGTTTCTTACAACATCAATGTTATGTGTTATAACCTGGAATAACAAATCCAAGTAACCCGTATCCTAAATTATGATTCATGTTCATTTCTGCGCTCTGCTTTTCTGAGAGATACTTAACCACAAGAATATTGAAAATATTCTGTATATTAGAAACCATCTTTGCAAGGTCTGGCTAGCCTTAGCACAGCCTCAGCTGTCTTCTTTCAGTGAGGTGATCCATCTCAAGTAACAGCACCTAAAGCCTTGCAAGACTGTGAACCATCAAAAAATTATTCCTTTGGGATAATAACTGGGTGGCTTAGTTGTTAGGCATCTGCCTTCAGCTCGGGGGATGATCCCGGGGTCCTGGGATCGAGCCCCACATCGGGCTCCCTGCTCAGCAGGGGAAGCCTGCTTCTCCCTCTCCCACTCCCCCTGCTTGTGTTCCCTCTCTCGCTGTGTCTCTCTCTGTCAAATAAATAAATAAATAACCTTAAAAAAAATTATTCCTTTGTATCTCGTTTTAATGCATTAACCCACATTTTCACCATTCTGAATGGGTAGGGTAAAAATATCTTGTTAGGAAAGGAAGAGGTGCACACGTGTTAGAAAGGTAAACATCCGTTATCCTAGTTAATCTGTTAACTAGTACAGCTAGTTCCCCAAATGCTGGTTAATGGAGAGGCTTTTAGATATTGCAATGCCGATATTATATCATTTTGCAATCTTAGGCAAATGTAGAGAGACCAACTTGTTCAGTGCCAAACCTGAGAAAGTCTCAGGTGTCTGAGGAAACCTCTTAAGTCCTGGGCAAAATGGGACAGCTAGTCATCCTAGTCAAATAAGTGATTTAATGTCTTGTTTCTCAAACTGTGGTCCTCAGCAGCTGTACATTTGGGAATCACCTGGTGATCTGTTAGTTCCAAATCGAAGTTCCAACCCCACACCTACTGAATCTGAATCTGCATTTTAACAAGATCCTCTAGTGATTCATAGGAACCCTAATATAAGAGAAGCACTGTTGTAACTGATGCAAATGGAAAAATCAGAATTGATTGGTTCTGAGTCAAATGAAAATTTTCCCTTTTTGTCTTCACTCATCTGACTTTGGTGCCCTGCCCCTCCAGGCCCTTCTGAGACCCCCAGCACTCTTGTGTTGCCTTTTGAGCTGTCTCTGGTCTCCTGCTGTGGTCTGCTACTAGGTCTTGCCCTTCCTGAAATTCTGCCTCTTCCTCTTAGGTTTCATTCTTTATCTTCCTATCAAAATGTATATAGTCCTGCATCTACTTCCCTTCGGGCATTCTGTGACAGGACTGACTATATCTAACGTAATTAACTACTACAGGCTAATATGTTTGTGGTGCCACCTCCCCCAGGTAACACATTTTCATTTTTAACAGAGATCTTGTAGGGGGAACAATGCTGAAACTGGCAGGAGAAGCAATAATGGTGGGAATTCTAGGAATCAGTGCAGGTCAGAACTTCGGAGAAGGTGGGCCTGGTAGAACCCCTAAAATCACACCACCATATAATCATTGCTCTCTCCATGAGTAGGGAATACACAAAGAGGGAGGTTTAAGGTAATCCCACGTAACTGGCTTACCTCCTAAGCTTTAGGTGTGATTTGGGTGCTGAAGTGGAAGATTCAACATAGCTGGAGAACAGAGCAGGGAAGAATAGTGAAGAATTCACCAAGGATCCACTTACATTATCTGTTACCAAGGTGAATGATGATCTCTTATTAAGTAGTAGGTACAGTTTCCACTAAAGGCCCAAGTGTCCAGGAAGAAATAGAAACGTGGCTGAATTTCAGGTATGGGGGAAAGGTCAAGGGCTATCATTTCTCAGCAAGGGGCTCAGGCTATATTAGTATCTTCTAGTACTATCACCTGTGATAAATGCAAGCCTCCTTCTTACCCAAGAAATGCTTGCCTTCACAGTAGATATAGAAGTAGAGCTTTGATTTATGAATTAATTTTCTTCCCTGTTACATAAATTATGCATCCAGTCCTCTAATGTCTAACTTTGTAGGAATACCCATTAGATGAGAGCTTCAAATATAATAATAAATATAAATCGTACAATAGCCATAGTAATAGGCATTCAAATATTACTTGAAAAATATCTCTGCCTGCATTGTTCTTATACCTTTCGATATACTTTCTCAAGAATATATTACTGGATCAAGTGCAGTTAATAGTTCAGCTACATCAAATCGAGTCCCCTTATGACTCAGAAGGCATTTTAGGTCATTCTAGTGCCTCAGGATGACCGTCATGAATCTGGATTGTCAAAATGCAAGAAACGCACACTAATAGATATTTCCAGGATGTCTTGAGAAGTCAATTAGGGCTTATTGTAAAACCACAGACTTAACCCTAAATGAAGATACATCCCTCTTCGGTAAAACTTTCAACTAAATCAATAGGAGTATGTCTTTAAGGGCATCAAGAGTCTGCCAGCTTATCGTAAATCAGAAAAATCCCACTGACCTCTGACCAATAACATCACCGAAGTCATGTGTTTCACTTTGTAAGAGCCTTTTTCAATCTTTTGAACGATACAGGTGTATTTGCCATTGTCCGACAGGCGCAGAGCCAGGATCACAATGGAGAGGTTCTTGGTGAAGTCAGTGAAGGTGCGATTCTCATACTTGGACCACACTTGCTCTTTTCCAGACATGATGGCCAACACCATTTCATCATCCTTTTGCCAATAGATTCGAACTTTCATCAGTTCTTCAGTGGAAATGTTGTAATCACAGGATAGTACTGCTACTTCTTTCACTGTCTTGTTCACCTGGATGATGCCTAAGGAGAGGTAAACAAGATTTTCTATTAAATATAGCCTCCTGCAGAAGCAGGAATTCAGAGCTGGCAATTCAGAGTCACTTATAATTTTGGTCCCCAGTGCTTTTCTCTCTCTCTCTCTCTCTTTTTATGTAGATTTTTTTTTAAGATTTTATTTATTTGAGAGCGAGAATGAGAGAGAGAGAGAGCACATGAGAGGGGGGAGGGTCCGAGGGAGAAGCAGACTCCCTGCTGAGCAGGGAGCCCGATGCGGGACTCGATCCTGGGATTCCAGGATCATGACCTGAGCCGAAGGCAGGCGCTTAACAAACTGAGCCACCCGGGCGCCCTATCTCTCTCTCTTTTTTTATGGTGGTTAAAAAAATGTAAAAATATACCATCTTAACCATTTTTAAGTGTACAGTTCAGTAGTGTTAAGTGTATTCACATTGTTAGAAAACAGATCTCCAGAACTTTTTATCTTGCAAAGCTGGAACTCTGTATGCATTACACAACTCTCCTTTCTTTACTCCCCCCACCTCCTTGGTAACCACCACTCAGTGTTCTGTTTCTATGAGTCTGACTACTTTAGATACTGCATATAATGAATCATAGAGTGTTTTCTTCTTGTGATTGGCTTATTTCACTTAGCATGGTGTCCTCAAGGTTCATCCATGTTTCAGCATGTGCCACAATCTCCTTCCTTTTTAAGGAATAATAAGATAATGATAATAATATTCCATTGTATGTATATACCACATTTTCTTTTCAATTCATCTGTCGATGGCCAGTGAGGGAGAAGGTCCACTAGTCCCATAAGAAGGAGGACTTTAGGAGACCTAGCATATGAATGCCAACTATGGGTAGACAATGTATCAGCCCCATGGGGATATGGAAGTCATCAGAACGTGAGATCTTGAAGGGACTTCCATGTTCATTCATTTTGGTGTTCTTATTTATAGATGAGGAAACTGAGCCCAGGAAAGGAAGCTGTCCCAGCTCTACACTTTCTGGGGCAGACCCTTCAAGCCATTCTCCTTGTTTACTGGTTTCCCCAACTTTAGGCCCCAGTTACAGGATAAGTGGGCAACACTGCCCACACCCCAGCTGGACCCCACTGTTGAGCTTTTTTGCTTTGAAAAACAGTCCTTTTCTTTCCAGGCCTGGACTGACCTCATAACTTAAGGCTGAATTGACTCCCCTCATCCCCACCAGACAAAGTGTAGTTTACACCTCCAGACCATTTCTCTTCAGCGACCCTAAATGATCTATATCCGGTCCCCATCTCTTTCAGCTATCTGCAATCCATGCAACAGCTGCCCTATAAGAGGGTCCCCGTTTAAAACATTCTGCTCATTTTCCCATCAGTGTATTCCAGGATTACCAACATTTCAGTATCCAAGCTCCATCTTTTTGTTAGCTCCTAAGCATTTATCAGTAGCACCAAATTCCCCTGTCAGGCTGTGTTTTCTGATTTTTTTTTACCATTCTTCCTATGCTGGGCTTGACCTACAAGCAGATCCCCTAAGCCCAAGCTCTTTCACAACTAGCCACTGCCTCCCCCACCCAATGCTATTATGCATTCTTTCCCAGAGCCACACAGCCTCCCCTGGGCAGGAAGGGGGGCTGCTATCTAAGGATCGAGTCTCCAATCTCTCTCTCTCTCCTCAGACAGCAGGATCATAGAGCACTAGCACCTCTCTATTTCAAGAGCCACTCTTCAGGCCTTCATCAGACTGGATATGGGCCCCCCACAGCATTAGGAAGTGAGTTTTGTGATGGCAGGTATCTTCATAGCGGGGTGAAGTAACTGAGAATGATCTAAGACACCCCTTTTGGCAATTGTGCTGAACACTGCCAACCCCAACTTTAAGGAACATATCTGAAAAAGGGGGAAGAAATGAAAAGATATACTTGAGGGGAGCATATAATAGCTAAATAACCTGAGCTCTCTTTAAAAAGATACAGCAGAGGGGCACCTGGGTGGCTCAGATGGTTAAGCGTCTGCCTTCGGCTCAGGTCATGATCCCAGGGTCCCGGGATCGAGCCCCACATCGGGCTCCTGGCTCAGTGGGGAGCCTGCTTCTCCCTCTCCCTCTGCCTCTCTCCCTGCTCATGCTCTCTCTCTCTCTCTCTCTGTATCTCTGTGTCTCAAATGAATAAATAAAAAAAATCTTTAAAAAAAATAAAATAAAAAGATACAGCAGAAGCAAACTCACAGGTATAAGGAGCATGAACTATGGGTTTCTGTTGACTTAGATTCTAGTCCCAGCTCAGCCACCTGCTAATAAATCTGTTTCCTCATCTGTAAAAAGGATATGATACCTGCCCCCCAGGATCATTGTAAAATTAAATTCAATTAAATGATATACATGGAAAGTCCCTAATACATAGCAAGTCTTCTCTAAGACTTTCCTTTCCTCTCTTTCCCAACTCTTGCTCCCAACTGCTACCCTCTGGTCCTTCCATTGCACTCAGGGGTTATGTCAGGTACTCAGGACTCTGGTCTTGCTATGGGCCAGACAGATACCATGACAGAAAGCAGCTCATTGATCTGGGATTCCAAATAGGATCTCTCCCTATGACCTGTTTGTTCCCACCCAAAAAGAATCCAGGATTTCTAACCGAGTTTGACATGTGACATTAGCAAAAGAGGAATCTGAACTGAAAACGAGCTACTTTCAATGATGACACTTAAGGAGTTTTTGTCCAGCCATCTGAGGAGAAGCGTGGGTGTCCCTCTAAAGGTCAGTAACCATCAATGGGATCCTTAATGTTCCTATGTGAAATCCTCTCACCACACACTCATGCTGAAGAAGAACCAGACTGAAAAGAGGAACCAAAAATCTTCTGAGTGATTTGGAAATTCCACGGGACCCGGCTTCCATACTCTGGCCTGCTGCATGCAGACAACTGAAAGGTCTGAAGTGTTTTGTCTGCTTCAGTGGATTTGGAGGGGAGAGTCAGGTCCCTGAATTCTGAGCATTACTGCCTAAAACCTAGTTGAATTTTGACCTTGCTTCACCATTTTACAGATGAGCAGAGCCACACTTACCTTACAAAGTGGGCATGAAGATTCTGTGAGGTAACGCACATGAGACGCCCCTGCAGACCTTGGCAAGTGCCAGGTACCAGTGCCTTCCCCAGACAGCCACACAGCTCAGTTCCTTGCTTCTCTTGGGTTTCTGCTCTGGTCCCCCTTTGTCAGAGATCCCTTCTCCGACTCTCCCTAACCAGCACCTTCTTCCCAGACCCCATCCATCCTGCTGCTCATTAGTCCCTTGCCCTGATTTATTTCTCTTCAAGTTTGTTTCCAGCAGTAGTTACTTTTGAGGCTATGAGAGCCGGGGCTTTATCTGTTTAGTTCATTGCTATATCTGCAGAATCTAGGACAGGGACTGGCCCATAGTAGGTCCTCAATAACTATTTGCTGAATGCATGGTTAGGCATTAGGAGATAAGATCTGGCTCCATTAGCTGCACATTAGAATCATAACCTTGAACAAGGTGGTTCCTTGGGAATTTCTGCAAAATAGGCATAATAATTTCTCCCCTAAAATTTCACATAATTATCACGGGGATTGTATGATACCCAGATGTAAAAGTGCTTAGTTAACGGTAAAACACTATGCAGATTTTTAAATGGGGCCGTTCCTGTCATTAATAGGGTGTGATTTGTTGAACCACACCCAGGACAGGCCAGAATCACCGTGGTAACTGGCTGACATCCGGACTGAGCCACGTATCCAGAGCTGGGCAGAAGAGCTTAAGTCCCCATGTGCTGTGATGTATGCTATGTCACTGGGACTTAAGTATGCTTTTTAAATAAAGGTGTTCTTGGGGCGCCTGGGTAGGTCAGATGGTTAAGCATCTGCCTTCAGCTCAGGTCATGATCCCAGGGTCCTGGGATCTCCCCACATCTGGCTCCCTGCTCAGTGGGGAGTCTGCTTCTCCCTCTGCCCTTCCCCCACTCTCCACTTGTGCTTTCTCTCATGTGCACGTGCTCACTCTCTCAAATAAATAAATAAAAATCTTTAGAAAAATAAAAGAATAAATAAATAAATAAAGGTGTTTCCTGACTCTAAAGGAGACACATATTAAATTTATAAAAAGAATAAAAGCATAGAAAAGCATAAAAGTCATCTATAATCCCACCATCTAGAGATTTACTGTTAATGGTCTGTGTATACCCTTCCAAAGGCAGTGACCCTTTGGGACACTGCTAAGTGCTCTTCATGAGGTGAACCAGTGCCCATGGGGCTTGTGTCGGCCTTGGGCTTGGTGCCAGGAACACAAGGAAGATAAGTGTCTGTTCTCCAGCGGCTGACAGATTTGAGACCTGTCACCTGATTTTTGCATCGCTCCTGACTTTCTCTCCTCTTGAGACCCAGCCTGTACGCTCTGTATAAATCTGATCCTTTGCATCTCCAAATGGTACTTAAATCTTGAAAAAGCTCAGGGACTTTGAATATTAGGGTTGTCCCAGCCAGAACCACGGCTCATAGGAGCCCTTGGCCAGCAGCGTTCAGATGGTACCTGACGACGGGAAGAGTCCCTGTGGCACTCTGAGGGCATTCTTTTCCCTCTGGCTCAGTCTTCTTCATGCCATAGACTTACAGGCAACACCGTTCCTGTGTCCCTGGCCAACTCCTACCAAAGGCCTCTCCCCTCCCCTTGGAGCTTGCTTTCCTGAAAACACCCCACCTCTGAGAGAAAGCTGCCCGTGCTGGCCCCTCTGAGAGCCACCCAGTTAGACCCTCTCCGCCTTATAACTGCCAGTTTCTGGAGTCCACGAGTCCAGTGTTTTGCCTCCACAGACCCAACCAAAAGTGGAGAGGAGTTCGGCCAGCCCCTCCCTTCTCAGGACAAAGTGGTCCCCTGTCCTGGGCAGCAAGGGCCAAGCTGGGGATGGGGGCGGGGGGTGGGTGGGGGGTAGTGCAGCTTCCTGGCCCAGACCAGGAGAGCAGGGTGTGTGGCAAATCCCTTTCTCCGAAGCCAAGGCCTCTGTGATCTCGCCCAGCCTTGCCTCCTGCGGGCCGTCCGCAGCTCCCAGCTCCTCCCTGATGCTATAGCACCACACTCTCCAACCCCCACCCCCCGCCCTGACTCCAGTGTCTTCATCAAAGCTGTCCGACATAGCCTCCTGACTGGTTTTACACCATCACTCTGGCAGCCCTACAAGCCGCTCTTTATGCTTTAGCAACACTTCTTTTTTAAAACATCATTTTGGAGCTTTACTACCCAAATGGAAGGTCTGTGGCCCAACAGCATTGGCATCACCTGAGTCCTTGTTAGAAATGCAGAATCTTAGGCCCCTCCCTGGCCCACCTCAGCAGAAACTGTATTTTTCAAAAATATACAGACTTTATTTTAGAGCATTTTAGGTTCACAGCAAAATGAATGGAAAGTACAGAGAGTTCCCATATACTCCATCCCCTCTGCGCACACAGCTTCCCCTACCATCCACATCCTATGCCAGAGGGTACATTTGTGACAATCAATGAACCTACATTAACACCTCATTACCACCCAAAGTCTGCAGTCTCCCTTAGGGATCATTCTTGACACTATACATTCAGTGGGTTGCCACAAACATAAAATGACATGCATCCATCATTATAGCATCATATGGAGTCTTTTCACTGCCCTGAAAATCCCCTGTGCTAGAAACTGTTTTGGACAAGGCCCCCAGGTGATTGGTACAGACCACGTCACTCCTTAAAACCTTCCATGACTTCCCAGTCCCTCCAAATAACATTCAGATTCCTGACCATGGCCTTGGAGCCCTATGGAGTCTTGTTCCTCCCTCCGCCTGCCCCAACACGCTGTCTCCATTTCCTTGCTCCTCTGTTTCTTTCACGTGCTGCTCTTCTGCATTCACCCAGCTCATTCTTACCACTCTCCCCTCTGGCAGAGAAAGACAGTGTTTGTCGTTTGTACATTCATTTGAGGGATTCTTTGATTGAGTTTCACGTTCTTCCTAATGACCGTAAATTCCATGAAGGCAAAAGCCATGTCAACCTTGCTCACAACTTGTCCCCAGGACCAAGAAAAGTATCCTATACAGAGGAGATGCTCAATATTTGTTGAATTAATAGATGAGTACACAAAAGAAAGAACACTTGTGCCAGACTCATCCTTACCTGTAGCCTTTGTCTGCACTGTGGCCCCACCCAGAATTCTCCCGCCATCACCTGGCATCTGCCATAAAGTTGGCCGGGCTGCCCCAGCCCGCCATGGTCCCACCTTTCCCAGGTCTCGGGCTCTTAGGATCGGGACCAGGAACTCTACTGCTCTTCACTAGCTTGGGGTTTAGTTTTGCCTTCTTCAACTAACACACTCGAATCTCTTAGAGGGCAGGAATCCCAGGTTCAGTTTTTGAGTACATAATAAGTGTTCACACATAAGATGCTCAGGGATTTGTTTGTTGACTCAGTACAGCAATAGTAAAATCTGAATATAGCTGTAGGACAAAATGCTTTCCTAAATATTTTTCTTTAGCTCAAACATCGTCTCCTTCCACTTGCTTAATTGCTAAAACCCTGGTTTTCATTTTATAGTTTCTTTCCCTTTTTCATTGGTTTCCCCCCAACACACACACACATATTTCTAGGAAGCCTGTATAAATTTCCTTCTAAACATTTTTAAACTCTTTAGACTCCCCCAGAAGACTCATTAGGGAGTGCTCCCCCAGCTACCTAGAAGAAAATTATAACTGTTGGAAATGTCATAGAATTGTCAAATATACACAATATCTGATGCATAAATTGTGAAACTTAGGTTGTGGTTCTCTTGGTCCAGCAACCATGTAAAATAGCAAGTTTTCCAGCCCAGGACAGAAAATGCACGACTACCATCACGGCAGGCACGTAATCCGTGCGCCCAAACTCCTCTCCTGTCCCCTCTTCCTCCCTCCCTCACACTTAGACATTCTGATGCCTGCAGTGAACACATGCTTTAAGTGAGCAGCTCTTAAGACAAGGACCTTTGACATTGGGTTCTTTGCAAACTGGCAGACCGTGTTGAAGCCAAAGCCTTCTCTTTACTTTGGGGAAACCAGGTGGTATGCTGTTCAGCAGAAAGAAGATCTTTTGTTTTGACTTTAAAAATAAAGTCAGAACCACTCTTCAGCAGGATGAGCCCCACTCTTCTCAACAGCCCCCCAAATCCAGCCCTTGAAGGTCAACTTGCAGGGTGACAGAAGGGGGCAGCACAGAAAACCCCACCTCCTAAACCTTGAAGCAGCAAACTCAGTCAAGCTCCTGAGAGTTCCTTACCTGAACAGAAGTAAAAAGGACTAGTTAGCATCAAGAACTGAAAGAGCTTGAGATACAGATGCTCGAGTAGTGGTGTTCTCCACTTCGCTGGGTGATCCATGGCTTCTGCCGCTTAGAGAGCAAAAACAATTTCAAACCAAGTGAGACCTGGGTACCTTCCAGCAAGCACCAGGCAGGAGCAGAAGACAATTCAGCTGTCTCACACAGAGGGTTCTCCTGTGATGTTTGCAAAAACACGGTGGATGGTGTACCTGGGTCTCCAAACTCCTGAATATAAAAGATTGTGGATTTATTTTCACAACCTGAAAGGGAAAAAAAAAAATTGAAGTCACCCAGGAAGGAAGGTTGGCCTAGTATGGGTCGTAAAACTCCCCAGTTGCCTGCCTGAAATGAGTCGGGAACCTTAATCTGAGCAACATCTAAACCACACAATCTCAAGGGTAAAGCAAAGGTCGGAGGAACTCCGAGGAGGTGATCTTGCCTTGTACATGTTTCCAAAACGAACCACAGCTCCCATGGAATAGTTCTGCTTAATGGGGACAATGAGACTTAGGTCAAAGCACAGAGAACTATCAGGACCCTCAATATCCGCTGGCCAAAATTCAGATCCTCTTCAAAACATACCAAGAAACACAGAGCACCAATGAGGTCCTATTTTGTCCAAGGCAGGACTTAAATTATGAAACGACTTCCTTCTCAATACATTAACATAAAAAAGTGTCTCCATTCTTAAACGCCCTGCACAAAGAACATGTCTTAAACCGGCAGAGGTTCTTAATCAACAGAAAAATCTGTTAGTAAAAAGGGAAAAGACATACTACAAAAATTACTTATTTATATTATGTATTACCATGGGAGGAAATTTTTTCAGGAAATTTATCAAAATTTAGAACTGAAAATGAATGTTGTGCTCCAATGTGATCTTCTGAGCTTGTCACCACAGACACAGTCCAATGCTACTCAGAAGACATTTGGGACCCCTCTTGGGAACCATCCCAGAGCTCATTTTCTAGCCTCACTTGACTGTTTTATTAGCCACACTCCATTTAAACCAGGATTAGCTCGAATTCACTTCTTCTTCAGAATTTTATGAGTCATAACTCTGTTGATGACTCACCAGCCATGCTGGGAACCCAGGGAGGCTCCTTTGAAAGTAAGTATGCATCTTGGAGATAGGAGTGATGGTATGTTTATTTAAAAAGGCAGTCAGGTTGTTGGTAACTATTCCTACTGAGCTATCCCATATTAAGATAGTAGTAAATGTACTTACTTGCTGAAGAACAATTCCTCTTTTTTTCTTGTGTTTAAAAAAATAAAAAAATCAAAGGATGAGGCCCCAGTTCTGAGATGTTCTTTTCTTGCCGTCTCCAAAATAATGGCAAGTTGCTCAGCTTTTCTTTGGGTGATATACCAGAGGTGGCAATCCCCCTTGCAACTTCCTTTTACTCACTAGAAGATCTATCTGATGTTCTTTCACCAGAAGCATTTAAGTCAAAGCAGGAGATGGGGAGGGTATTGTGTATGATTTGAGGAAGCTTGCTCTTGCTGTCCCTTTTTGTCAGCCACCTCCTCAGAGGGTGTGGCCAGGACAAACCACACAGCACCTCCCTCACCATCTCGCACAAACCAAAAGTCTCAAGGGGAGAGAAGACTGTAGAGGGCAGCCTGGGGGTGAATGGGAGGCCAGGGTGGGGAGTTGGGGGGGGCATTGGCTTTGGCGGTAGATAGACTGTGGGCTGTGTGGGCCAGTAGTTTCTGAGTCTCAAGTTTTAACACACAGTTACCCCTCTCTCCTCAACAGTCATGCCAATGCAGGAGTGAGCTCTCTACCTCATATGTCGTGGTCACTTTTTGGAGAGTGCTGGGTTCACTAGGCTGCCCTTAACTGCACTCCCACCCCCACTATCTTCACAGACAGGACTTCTGGCAGCCATGTTGGACAGGATCCCAGGCATCTCAGGTGAGCACAATGACAGAACCGAGGGGTAGGGTGAAGAAGATTTTAGTACCACCCCCTTACCCCTCACCCCACCCCCAGACTCCCTGTTTTCAACCAGCCTGTGTAGAATTCTGGAGCATTCTGTGGGTAAACAGCTGACACATGCTGGTGCAGCTGATTGGTTTTGCACAAATAGAACCTGACAGCACTTTGCCTGGGCCGGCAACCTTTTGCAGTTGGCTCCTGGCCCTGGGGCTTCTCTTTTGCTTTGGCAGGGGTTACCCTTGCAAGTTCTGTACTTAAACATGTGCAGCCTGGGAATATGGGAGTAGTTAGTGTCCATGGGGCTACTCTTGACCAGAGGAGGTTGGAAGCTGACAGCTTCCAGGTGGGGAGTTCTGAGAGACATTTCATGAGGGTTTCCAGAAGGCCCTAGTGGGACTGAGTTCCAGCTGCCTGCAGCAGAAGCCAGCATGGTAAAGTACCCTTCTACTGGCTTTTCTTTCTTCCCTGTCTCAATCCTCCCGTTCTGCACTGCTAGACTACATTCTCAATAAACTAGACCTTTGTTTCCAGCTTTGCTTTCTGGATACTCTAGGCTAAGACAGGAGGGATGCTCTTATGGTAGAGATACAGTAGTTTTCTATCTAAATTTGTAAAAGTAGAAAGGTGAGTCAATTCAGAGAAAAAAAAGAAATGCAGATATGATACACGAATATGGTAAACATTGTGAATATGGTAGAAAAGTGTCTGAACTATTGACTTCAGGCTATTAGAAAGTAGCCTCTCCTGGCAAAAATCGCAGTGTAAGCTGCCATCTATCCTAATATTTTTCAGTGTTAAGGAAGGCACTGAGGTCCCTTTAAATTAAAAGCTGATAGGGAAGAATGACTGTTGAGGCCCCTGGATGTCCACAGGGTGGGGAGGAGTGACAATCATCCCGAAGGAAGAGAAGGAAAGAATAAAGGCTTTTCCACTTCATGATTGTGCTTAGGCTCTGACAAGGCCTGTGATATGGCGGATACAGGACCTCACTAGGGGGAATATGTCCCAAGGCTCAGCTCAGGCCTCCAAAAATTGCTGACTGCATTTGAGACAAATCTTATGCATGAAGTGAGTGGCAGCTTCTCTGATGTGATCTGCCAGGTCCACTCCCACACCAGCCCTCCTGGTATGGCATCCACAGTGCTGTGCTTCCCTGCCACCCACAAGATGCAGCTGTTTGGGCTACGGCGATGTCTTCAAACTGAGATAAACCCCCAAGGGCACCTGCAGATTTTCAAAGGGTATGCAGGCCTGGTAATTTTAAGAGAATCCTTTTCCAGATTTCCAGTTTCTTTATGGATGCTTTTGTAAAACTTACCTGCAGTGGGAAGGACCTTGTCTTTCTCCCTATTAGAAGAGAAAGGCTCTGACCTGACTTGAATATTACTAGGGTGCCATGTTCTGGAAAGTGAAAAAACTTTAGGGTGCCAAAGACGGAAACAATTTGAAATAGTGGTGTTTTAATCAATGCTGCCTCCTTAAATCAAGACAGTCTAAGCCCAAGGGAGGGTCTCACGTCCCTCCCATCTTGTCCACATTTCTGTGGAGGTAGAAACGTGGCATTAGACACAGATGTACTGTAGAGTGGGGTGGTAGGAGAGGTGGCAGCGTTTACTAAATAAACGTGGCCTCTTCTACTTCCTGTCTCTTGGCAAAGACACCATCTCTCCGGAGGCAGCCAGAAAGAGCAAAGAGTGTGGGTAGGAGACAGGGAAGGCACAGGCACCTTGCCTCGCCCCAGCGACAAGTTTGTGGCAGGGTTCAGTGGGTGGCTGCTCTGTCTGTCTCAGATTTGGAATATTCAAGCTCTATAAAGCATGCCAGGCAAACTTTCTATGACAGGGGCCCCCTGCATTTTCATCTTCTCTGCGAGGAAAAAAAAGCTTGGTGAGCATTTTTATTCATCTGTGTCTTGGTCTGAGTGTCAGCTGCATATTTTGAATAATGATGAGGAAGGACGTAGCAACTTCTACCTTACAGTCACAGCAAACTTCAGCCTGTCAGTGGAGGGGCTGAAATCCTTATCTGGCTCCTCGCCCTGCTTCATTCAAACTGGCTTATAACCTGCGCCCAGCATGGGGTGGCCAGATCTAGCCTCTCAGACCATGGTGCTCCCAAGGGGTGCCACAGTCTGCTCAAGCTGGTAGAAACGTCATCAGTGTGAAGACATTGAATTCCTCTTTGAATGCTACTTCTCTGAAATGGAAATCACTGGAATTCTTCAAAGGAGAAGAGAAGTGGACATTCAGAGTTAACCCTTGTCCAAACTGTCCCCACTGCCCACTGCCCCTCTTCTGCCTGCATTTGGCACTATAGTCTCTCTGCCTGGAAACCTTGCGGGTTCCTTAACTTTCTAGATGCCTTTACTTGTCTCTTTGCCCATCTGAACATCTTCCTTCCTAAAAGGACCAGACCAAATGCCAGTTCCTCAAGAAGCTCTCGTTAACTCTTCTAATCCCCATCTGCTCTTTCCTTTCTCTTTGCTTCTAATGCAGGTACCATTCCTTTGGCATGTCAAGCCAATTCCCCTCAAATTTATTGAGTTTGCACTGTGAGCCCAGAACTGTGCCAAGCACTGGGGATGCAAAGGCGAGTAGAACGGGAGAAATAAGAACAAGGTGGAGGGAGCAAAAGAAGCAAGCAATAGCAGAAGAAAGAAGCAGAGCAATCAGCTGAATTGGAGTCTGCAGAAGGGGAAGATGCCCCCCACCCCGTACCTCCCCCAGAGCAGTAGCTCAACTTCTGTAAGTCACTATTTCCTAACCTTGGATTGGGAGTACCATCCACCAGTAGATTTGGAACCCTTCTTTGGCACACTTCCTACCAGATGGCCTCGGCCTCTCTCCTTCTCCCAGTCTTGGGATTTCCCACAGGGAGGGAAGCTCAGCTGCCCAGCTGACTCCCCAGGTTCCCCTCTCTGGTTTGCGATGGGTCTCTGATGCTCAGCCCTGTAGCCCTGTTCTAACAGACTTCACTGCTCACTGGCTGGCTCTCAGTGGGTAGAAATACAGCTTCAAGAAAATGGAAAGTAACCACTCCTGGGGTGGGGAATCTAAAAAGAGTTTAGGCAGATTTCCTAGCGGTGTCAGGCTCCTAGAGAGTCCCCCAACCCTGCC